GAATTCTAGGGGGAAAAAGTGGGAATTCTGTGGGAAAAAAACTGATTGATTTTAGGAAAATTCCTCTGGAATTTTTTTTTTTTTTTTTGTGCTCCTGAGGGGATTTTTTGGGATGGATTCCAGGGATTTTGGGGATGGATTCCAGAGATTTTTGGGTTGGATTCCAGGGATTTTTTTGGATGAATTCTTGGGGGTTTTTTGTGATGAATTCCAGAGATTTTTTTGGGATGAATTCCAGAGATTTTTTTGGGGATGGATTCCCAAAATTTCCCCCTGCTCCAAGGAGGATTTTTTGGGGATCTGGGGCAAGCTCCCAGGGATCCAGGCAGGATTTTTGGGATCCCCAGAAAATTCCCTGATCCCATAAAAAACCCGGATTGGGAGTCGGGATTTTGAACAACTCCCGAATTTTTATTTTTTTTTTTTTTTATTTCCTAATCATCCCATGGATTAAAAACAGCAAAAAAAGAGGGAAAAAAACTCAAAAAAAAAGCGGGGATCGCTCCTGATATCCCGATTTTCCCGGATTTTCCCGGATTTTGGGATTTCCCGGGGGTTTTTTTTGGGAATTCCGTGGGATTTTCCCATTCCAGGGCCGGTGAGAGGCATCGATTTCCACAAGCAGCAGCCGCTCTTCGTGTCCGGGGGCGACGACTACAAAATCAAGGTGGGAAATTCCCAAATTTTTCTGCTTTTTCCCCCCAAAAAAAATTGAAAAAAAACGGAGTTTGGGAAAGGCTTGGGGTGAGCACAGCTCGGGATTTGTGGGAATAAAGTTTGGGAATTGGGTTAAAGGGGAAATTTGGGAATAAAGGGGGAAAAATCCTGGAATAAATGGGAAAATTTATTGGAAAAAAGGGGGAAATTCCTGTGGGGAAAAATTAAAAAATGGGGATTTTGGTTTTAGTTTCCTGGTTTTGGAGCTGGAGCTTTTCCAGGTTGGGATTTTTTTGGGAATTGGGATTTGAGAGGGGAAAATGTGGGGTTGGGAATTGGGTTAAAGGGAAAATTGGAAAATAAGGGGGGGAAAATCTTGGAATAAATGGGAAAAATTATTGGAAAAAAGGGGGGAAAATTCCTGGGAAAAAATGGGAATTTTGTGGTTTTGCTTCCCTGTGTTTGGAGCTGGAGCTTTTCCAGGTTGGGATTTTTGTGGGAAAGGGGGGGGGAAGGAATAAAATTTTTTGGGCTTTGGAATTTTCTGGATTCTGGGATTGAAAATTGGGTTGAAAGTGGGGAAAACTGGGAATAAATGGGGGGGAAAAGTGGGAATTTTACGATCCTGGGGTGGAGCTGGAATTTCCAGTGTGGAATTCCAGGAATAATTGCTGGGATTTGTGGAATTTTAGGTGTGGAATTACAAACTGAGGCGCTGCCTGTTCACTCTGCTGGGACACCTGGATTACATCAGGACCACGTTCTTCCACCATGTGAGAATTCTGGGAATTCCCAGAGGGAATCTCCACCTTTCCTGGGAATTCTGCTTTTCTGGGAATTTTCCTCCATGTTTTTTTTTTTTTTTTTAAATGGGAATCTTCAGTGGGAATCAATTCCTGGGAATTTCCAGTGGGAATTTCATGGAAATTTCCTCTGGGGAATCCATTCCTGGGAATTTAAAATGGGAATTTTTTTCATGGAAATCTCCCTTTGGGAATCAACTCCTGGGAATTTCCAATGGGAATTTTTCCAGGGAAATCTCCCCTTAGGAATCCATTCCTGGTTGTTTAAAATGGGAATTTTTTCATGGAAATCTCCTCTTGAGAATCAATTCCTTGGGAATTTCCACTGGGAATTTTTTTCCTGGGAATCTTCTCTTGAGAATCCATTCCTGGGAATTTCCAATGGGAATTTTTTCCTGGGAATCCATTCCTGGCACTCCTCTCCTTGGCAATTCCTCCCTCCAGGATCCCTTCCCTGAGCTCCTTTTCCCTTCACAAATTCCCAGGAATTCCCAGCACTGGGATCTCTCCCTGCACCCAATCCTGGTCCTGATTTTGATTTTAATTTTAATTTTGATTTTAATTTTAATTTTGGTTTGGATTTTCCCAGGAATATCCCTGGATCCTGAGTGCCTCTGATGACCAAACCATCCGTGTGTGGAACTGGCAGTCCAGGACCTGT